CCCGGGCATGTGCCCTGACGGGGAATCGAACCCTGATCTCCTGGATCCTAGGCCAACACTCAACCGCTGAGCTACACCCAGCAGGGCTGTCCTTTTTTAAAAATAAATAAATATATATATTGATTGATTGATTGATTGATTATCAATTTATTGATTTCAGAGAGAGGAAGGGAGAGACAAATAGAAACAGCAATGATGAGAGTTATTGATCGGCTGCCTCCTGCACACCCCCTACTGGGTATCAAGCCTGCAACCCAGGCACGTGCCCTGACCGGGAATTGAACCTCGATCTCCTGGATCATATGTCAATGCTCAACCACTGAGCCACATCAGCCATGCTCTCTGTTTGTCCATTTAACTGAGATCTACAGATATGCCAAGAAAACTGAGGGTCTGTCCAATCAGCCTAGGTTTCTCCTCTTGGCAATCACTCAGCTCTGGGTAAAGTAAATAACACTAATAATACCAGTACTTATTGCTAGCATATATTAAGTGCTTCCTTTGTCCCCGCCTCCATCTGGAACTGTAACCTACTGTGGCCTCCCGTGAGCCTCGGTGACTTGAGAACCTGCCTTGTGGTACAGGGGTTTCCTCTTGAGTCAAAAAGACTTTGTGTCCTAGCAACAAAGGGAGAAGGGCACTTGGATGGTGAGGCAACTACCTGAAGAATTCCATTCTTTAACTTCTATACCTTACCTTTGCCCACAATGGATTTAAACCGCTTACAACAACAAACCATTACCAAAAAGAGAGAGAGAGAGAGATCAAAATTTTTTTAAATCAGGGAGTAAAGAAAAAAGAACACCAGCACTCCACCAAAGTCATTATAGACATTGTGATCCAAGAGCAGGCTTTCAGACTTGGTACAGAGATTCCTGACAGTGAAAGAAAATAAAAAAGCAACACGATCAGGTTTGTCGTTCTCATTTGCAGCACACCTGCCCCTCAGGGGAAATAAATGTTTTCCCAGCACTGAATTCTAAAAGATACTTCTGTGTGTTTTTATAGAGTGACATTGAATGATTTAAAGACTTATATATTTACAAGAAATTCCATTTACCTCATTTGACAAATATTTCTGAAGTTTCCATAGTAAGGTCCCGTGCTAGCTCAGCACAGTAAATATAATACTGATGCAGCTAAAAAATAAAATGCCCAGAACCAGGCCTGGCACACAGGAGCTGTAGCTGCCGCTGTTACTGAAATCCATATGGCGTTTCTTAGCGACCTTTTTACCCAGAGAAAATAAGTGAGTTATCCCCAATGCACACCGTCAGTGACAGCAATTCTACAAGGGCTCAAACTAACACAGCACATGACCTTTTAGTGGCTGAATTTGATAAGGAATAGAATTCAGAGGGCATAAAGGAATGGATGGATAGTTGCATCTTCTTACACAATCTTTCTTAAAGGTCACCTTATTTTTCAGCTATGCCTTTGGTAGAAGAAGTTTCAGTTAGATAATCCTATGTCATTCAGTAGAAGGGGTAAACATCCAATCCCAGAGAGGCAAACTATTTTTCCTGCTACCTAAGTTTTAGAATTTAGCCTGAGACAACCCCAAAAAGGAAGACCAAACTTTCTAACCTTCCTTATTCGAAAAAAGAGGGTTGACCAAGCATATGAAACGGCAGAGAACAGGTGCTCAGTCAGTGTTCACTTTCCCTCTTCTTTGTCCACTGGAGTTTTTGTCTTTAGTTTGGTCCTGTTGGTTTGCTTTTTTCAAAGGGGCAAAGATTATGACATATACCATCTGCAAGGAAGACTCCCAGAACCTGGGCCTGAGTCCCCAGAGAGGTTGGGTCCTGTAGACACATCTCTTCTTCCAAAAGAAAGAGAAGGGAAGACTAAGCCAAGATTGTCCAAGCAGCAAACACCAGCCAGCATGAGTCATGTGAGTGTAAACACCTAGGAGCTTGGTCGAAAGGCCCCACCTGGATCATGCTCCCATCAGCGCTCCCATGTACTGCTGTGTAGACTGCTTACTATACAGAGGCACCTAACAAAGCAAGCAAGTTGGAGCTGAAATCCAGTCTGTGGCCTGCTCACCGTGTTCTGCACTCCAGCACTGGGCTGCATCCTCCTGAAGGATGGGGTGCCCGTTTCTAATTCCTACTAAGATACTAGAAGGAAGCTTCAGTTTTCCTACACTTACACCACCTCTGACACCAAATGGGTTGTTCTCCCACAACCACCAATTCTCCAACTCTCTCTAGGACGCCAACTGGGTGTCCTACAATTCAGTTCTGACACTAACTACCCAGAGTCAGTGCAGGCCCTACAGGTTAGAGCCTCAGTCCCAGGGACCGCCCCCACTTTAGACATCAATCACAAGTCTCAGGTCGTTGCCTGTACTTCTGACCAACGCGCTTTAAATGGGGGATTCCCACCCTCAACTTCCCATCAGATTTGATAATTTGCTAGAATGGTTCACAAAACTCAGGGAAACATTTACTTGCTATTACGGATTTATTACAAAGTTTATGATAAAGGACACAAATGAATAATAGCCAGATGAAGAAATACATAGGACGAAGTCCAGAATAGTCCCAACTGCAGGAGCTTCCACAGAGTTTGGGGTATGCCACCCTCCCAGTATACGGGTGTGTCCATCAACCCAGAAGCTCTCTGAACTCCTTTGGTTTGGGTTTTTATGGAGGCTTCATTACACAGGCACTGGTGATTATATCATTGGCGAATGGGATTAACTCAGACTCCAGCCCTCTCTCCTTCTCGGAGGTTGGGGGTGTGGGGCTGAAAGATTCAACCCTCTAATCATCTGGTTGATTCTCCTGGCAACCCATTCCCCGTCCCTAGGGGCTTTCCAAAAGTCCTCTCATTAACATAACCCCAGTTGTTGTTGATAGGAGCCTATTAAGAATAACAAAATATACTCCCTTTATTCTCCAGAAATGACAAGGGTATTTTAGGAGCTTTGTGCCAGGGACTGAGGACAGAAGAACAAATGTATATTTCTTATTATGTCACAGTATCACAGTACTGAATGGGAAGCCATGACCCTGCTCTGCCATCCCCTTTTATTTTTATTTTTATTTTTTTAAATATATCTTTATTGATTTCAGAGAGAGGAAGGGAGAGGGAGAGAGAGAGATAGAAACATCAATGATGGGAGAGTCATTGATCGGCTGCAGCCCGCAACCCGGGCATGTGCCCTGACCGGAAATCAAACCCTGATCTCCTGGATCCTAGGTCGACGCTTAACCACTGAGCCATGCCCAGCCGGGCTGCCATCCCCTTTTAGAAGGAACCTACCTCCATGTTGGCCCAGCCCACAGGGAAAGGTTAAGGCTTCCCGCAAGTTAGCAAATGCAACAGTGAGTAAAGCTGGCTTTGATTTAAACCACGTTAACCATTCATTGTGGCAACAGCAATCTATCAAAGGTGAAAACTGCTTCACTTTGATCCAGCTCTGTAGACCATGATTTAGCAGCAGAAAAGGGGACGGATCATAAAATGTATTCTATTCCTCTTTTCTCCTATGAAATTATACCTAGTAGTTTAAAATCAAAAGCTGAACCTTAGGCTCCACACTCTCTAAGACTTGCTCTTCTGCTTCATCTGGAACCCACACAAATTCCATTCAAAGCCATTCTATCTTGTTCAACATAATCTTCCTTTGATTTTTTTTTTCGTTTCCTACATGTATCATGGTCCCTTTCCTTAAATGTTCACCCTTAGGAGGAGAAGGAGTTGATTGACAATGCAAAGAGAAAGAAAAGTACCAAGACAGACAAGTCCAAGGTGCCCAAGGCGGGGAGAGAAGGAAAGGTCCACATGGAAACAAAAGCTGCTGTCGGTAAGCAAGTGTGCCCACGAGGAATGACCCAGAAGACACCTATGGGGGACTGGGAGGTGTCACCAAGAATCAGTGTGAATCCTATGGAACAAGTTCTGTTTTGAGTCTCCTAGACCACCACAGCTAAGACAGTGCTATGTCAATATCTTAGGAGACAGGGATAGAGGAAACTGGTTTGCCTAGAGACCTGTGATCACCAGGAGAGAAAATGATAATAATATTAGCACCTGTTTACTGAATACCCACTGTGTTAGGAGCTCTGAATACATGGTATCATGAAATCCCCACAACATCTTGATAAAGTAAGAGCTATTATTTTATCATGTAGCAGTTGAAGCTGAGATAGGTTGAGTGACTTGCATAAGATCAAACAGATCGAACAGTATAGTGGTGGACCCAGGACCGGACCCTCCCATTTGATTCCACACACATGCTATTACCACTGCCTCATGAGCTAATAACTATATCATAATCTGAGAAGTGGGCAGAAAAAGCATTTGAGAAGGGAAAGGGTGCAACCAGCTCTGAGTGATTACCCCTGCTACCATTTTTCTTGGTTCCCTATGTTGCACCTTCCAAGGAATTCACATTCCTGTGCTTCTGAAAACTTTTTTTTAGCCAAAAAACTAGACCTGTTCTTCCCTGGCCACATGATTCAGAATACCCTCCAAACAAATCAAAAGATACAAGAAAGGATGACATTAAATAGTCTCCTGGGCCAGATTTATTCTCATGGTCTGCCTTTTAAAGTCTTACTGAGTTCATGTTGCTGTGGCCCATGACTTGGACAGCATTGACAGGACTGGGAGAAGGAAATATGTGTGGCCCCCAGAGGTGAATTGAGGAAGAGTTCTGAGAGCAAGGAAGGCTTAAACTTTGCCAGGTTACAAAGCTGCAACATCAAGCCAGACTCTGGAGGTGTGACCATCCAGCTGTATCCACAGGCCTCCCCTTCAGAGAGTCTTGCCCAAACCATTGATTAGGGTGAAAAAGAACTTTTTTAGTAGCAAGATTGCTGAATTACTGTTGATCCAAATAGAAGAAGGCAAGTTTCTCAAAGGGTAGTCTGTGGACTGCCCTTCTTAAAACACTTGGAGTGGTTAAAATGCAGATTCCTACCAAATGAGGCTCTAGGAGTGGGGCTTAGGAATCTGCATCCCATGTGATTCTGTTGCACACTGGAATTAAAAGTCACTGAAAAGGATGCACAAAGGTCACATTTACTTAGCTATACCTCTCTCCCTGATTATTCTCACCCAGGAAAGTCAAAGGAATCAAAGGCTAAAAAGAAATCAGAGCTAATTCCCAAAGAAAAACAAACAGGAGCCAAAAGGAAAAGGGCACGGAAGGAAAGGAATCTGGAAATAGCAACAGAGTGGAGTGGGCCTGACGTCATTAACGCTAAGGGAACAAGGCACCTCAGATACAGGTTTCTTTCCTTTAGGCTCTGTTGTAGAAGACCCTCGGCTTTCTCCCAGACACGATGCTCAGGAGAGCCAAGTTTCAATAAATGGAAGATCATCGCCCACCCAGATTGTAACTGTCACAGGAAACATGGAAAATGAAGGAGAGGGAAGCCATGAGGTAGGATCCAATGTTCTCCGCTTTGGCCAAAGGGGTTTTGTCCTCACTGGTGCAACTGCAGGGATAGGAAAAGCTGCCCCAAATTATACTGCTGTTACAGAAACAGCTTTACTACAGAATGGTGTTATTTATCCTGCTTTAGTACCTACTGACTTTTTGAAGAAGCCAAACCTGATCAAAGTCATAGGGTGGCATGATGCATTCTGAGGCTCCCAAACTTCCATGGCATGTATCCACCCCTTGAAGAGCAGGAAGTTGGTACAACAAACATCTGTGGGGGATACAGACCTCAAAGTTACAGGGAAAGGTGGGTTTGTGCCATCAGGGCCATGCTCATGCCTTGCTTGCCTCCAGAGACACCCTTCTCGTAAACTGAGAGAAACTTTCACAGAAAAAGTGGGTTTGAAATTAAATGTGAGTCTGACCCCATCTATGCCTAAGACTGCCTCTGGTAAAATAGCCTTTATCTAGAACCTGTGGTTCCAAGCCCTGGCTTCACCATACAAGCTTTTTTAAACCACAGATGCCTCCCACCTAAATTTTCTCATTTAATTGAACTGGGTGGGGGCTTGGTCTCAAGAAATTTTAAAAGCTCCTTGGGATATTCTATAGAGCAGCTTGGGGTGAGAGCTCTAGACATACAGTGTACCAAACATTATGTTGACACTTTCACTACTCCAGTTAATCCTGATAATAGCACCAAGAGAAAGATGGTATCAGAGAAATTAAGCTGTGATCTCCAGATCCTGAAGCAAGTAAGAGAGAGGCTTGGATCCAGGTCAGTCAGACCCCAGAGCCCAAGCTGGTGGCAGCAATTTATGTGGCTGTGGTCAGAGCGTGGAAACAATTAATGATTCCATCTCAGATTAGTGACAACCTCATCTGGGGTGGAGGAGGGCTCACTGCTGAGACAGGCTCACCCCTGGTCACCAGGTTGTCCTTTGCACTAAAGTCTCTGGTTCCTTAGGACCTCCTCGCCAAGAGGGAGCAGGGGAAAGCTTTCCGGGACAGGCAGCGAGCAGAGAGGGCCGAGATGAGACGGCTGGAGGTGGAGAGGAAGAGAAGGGAGCAGGAAGAGCAGAGGCAGCTCCAGCAGGAGCAGCTGGAGAGGGCAGAGATGATGAAGGAGGAGCTGGAGCTGGAGCAGCGAAGACGCGCGGAGGAGATCCGGTGGGTCCAGTGAGCAGCTACAGAGGCCATGGCTATGTCAGGAAGCAGGAGAGAAAGGCAGGGGTTGACCTCCACCAGGGGCAAGGTTTGGTCCTGAAGCTCATGTCCTGAAGTAAAGCAGCATGTCTCATTTTTCTCTGTCCCCAGCTATCCTAGGAACAAACTGGACCAAAGAGAAGATGCAATGTCTTGACCATTAGGGTTACTTCAGGTAGATGTTCATGGCATCTTCCTGGCAGGGCTTGTGATTCAGTCCAGAAAACATTTTTGAGGCCCTACCACATTATCTGCTTTACACTAGGCCCTTTCATAAGCTTTGATTCATTTCATTTTATCTTCATGACAACCTTGAGACGAGAGTTTTAAAATCCATTTTATGAAAGGGGAAAAGGAAGCTCTGGGAACTTGAGGCCCTTACCCCAGAGCACAGAGTTGTGTTGAAACAGCTAGGCTTCTAGTTCCAAGTCCACTGTGTTCTTGCCTCTGCCCCTCAAATGGACGTCCCTTGAAAATCCAAGGCTCCTCTGAGTGGGATGTTCTGTGTGGCCTGAAGCCTGCAAAACCTACAAGGATGCCCGTTTCTTCTGCCATTTCCATGGTCATTTTTTTTTTAATATCTTTATTGATTTCAGGGAGAGGAAGAGAGTAGAAGAGAGAGAAACATCAATGATGAGTCGTCATTGATTGGCTGCCTCCTGCACACCCCAGACTGGGGATTGAGCCTGCAACCTGGGCATGTGCCCTGACTCGGAATCGAACCACGATCACCTGGATCCTAGGTCGATGCTCAACAGCTGAGCTACGCCCAGCCAGGCTCCCTGATCATCTTGTGTTTTCTCAGCTTGAGGAAACAGAGACTAGAGGAAGAACGGCAGTGGCAGGAAGAGGAGGAAAGAAAGCAATGGCTCCAGTTGCAAGCAGCCCAGGAGAGAGCCAGGCAGCAACAGGTGGAGTTCCAGAGGAAAATGCAGGAACTGCAGAGAAAAAAGCAGCAGGAGGAATCTGAGAGAGCTGGTGAGGGGGATTCTGGTGCTCTCCACCTCTCATCTGGGCAGAAATACCTTCCTCCCACTGTGGGTCTTGATTTGAATCTCCCACAAGTTATTCCTATCCTAGCTCTTAGTGTGTGAAGCATGCTAAGTGTATGAGCTTTTTTCTTTTTCAAGGTAACTGATATGTGTGACTATAGTAAGTTGAGATAGATCAAATAAGACTCACTTGTGGAAATGCCTCTTGGCTCCTGCTCCGAATTCAGTAATCCCCTGAACAGGGCCCCTCCTATTGCCCTTTCCACATTGCTCAGGAGCTGCCTAAATTAGAGACAGCCCTGCTCCTAGCTTCCTTCCCTAGCAGATGGAAACAATCAAACATCTGGATAGCTTCAGGGCAGCCTTTCAGGTGCTGATGTGGGGAATCTCTAAAGCCTCACTTTCAAGGAAGAGAAACTTTCAGCAGATGACACTCCTAAGACTGGACAGTCCAGCTGAGTGAGCACCAAACTTCTCCAGACCCTGATCTGATCCCCACTCCTCGGCCCATCTGCATACCACCCCATGAGCACACTAGGCTCTGGAAAATTCTCCCCCAAGGTTTTGTTAATTGCACAGTGTACTGCACATAGTAGGTGCTTGATAATGGACTCTTAGTCAATTCACCCCAAAGTAATCCCCACAGAGGATGTGGCAGCCTGCTGGCAGGTAAACTGCAGCATTTCTCATGGGGAATCCCTGGGAATCACAGACTTGAGGTGGATCAGAGAATTGTTTTCTCCAATAGAGACCCCTGATGAGGCCACCCCCTTTTCTATTCTGCAGAGGCAGAGAAGCAAAGGCAGAAGGAATTGGAAATGAAGCTAGCAGAACACAGACACCTGATGGAAATGGCTGAATCAGAACGGCTGGAGTACCAACAGCAGAAACAGGAAGCTGAAGAGAAGGCTCGGCTGGAAGCGGAGGAGAGAAGGCAAAAGGAAGAGGAAGCAGCAAAGCTGGCTCTGGAGGAAGCCATGAAACAGACAGAGGCACTAGCCAGGTATCGGGCATTTGGGCAAGTTACCACACGGGACTGTTCAAGGGCTTCACTGCCCAGCGCTAGCACTTGCACTGCATTTGAGCAAGTGAGGTTTTCCCACTTCCCTGAGCATAGTTTGGAAGAACTAAAAAACAAATATTCTTTCTGCAAATGTCGCTATTTATAACTTATAGAACCTGTACGGAAACTGGGAGGGAGTTTAGAGATTACTTCAGCCCTTTGGTTTACAGATGAAGAAAACAAGTCCCGAAGATGGGAAGGGTCTTGATCAGGGCCAGACGATGAGTTAGGGGCAGTGCCAGGACCAGATCTAAGACTCACTGATTCTGAACCACTTGCCTTTCTCAGGAAGTATTTATTGGGTACCTATGCTGTGCCACACCCTGTTCTGGACACAGGGAATTTAGGAGTAAGCAAGAGATGTCTCTTCTACCATGCCGTTTACATTCTAGGGGTGGGGGCTGGGGGGAGTTGGGAAGAGACTCTGAACAAATATATTTATAATTTAGCTAGCAATAAAGGCTATACAGAAAAATTTTAAACCTGTGATAGGATTGCAAGCTTAGTTTAGATTGGTTGACCAGGGCAAGACCTCTCAAAAGAGGTGATCTATAAGGTGAAATCTGAATGACATGGACTTAGCCACATAAACATCTGGGAGAAAAATATTCCAGCAGGTAAACAGTAAGTGCAAAGATCCAAAGAAAGGATGAGACTGGCATGTTGGAAGAATAAAGTCAGCATGGCTGGAATGAAGTGAACAGGGCCCAAAGAACACTTCCAGAGGAGGTCGTAGAGGTAGACTCAAACCAGATGTCACGAGGGCCTGGTTAGGAGAAAGGACACAGGATCAGTCATCAGGGGCCAATGGCATTTCCCCCCTTTACTCTCATACAATAGTAATGATTGTTGCATCTTTATAATAGAATCTGAGTAATATGGTTTTGACTCTTTAAGCTACCTCTAAGCTAATACTCTAGGGGACCAGAAAGAGAAGGCAGCCAGAATTCTATTTCAAGGTTTTCCACCAACCTTGAGCTGCTCCTCTCCTGGATTTTCCTCATCTGTTATATGAAGTACAAAATGGATCATTACTGAAATCTTGATTCAATTTCAAAATTATGGACTCTGAGTGTCATAGCAGTAGGGCTGGATTTGTAAGTGTTGAGACCAAAAGCAAGCTAGTGGAACTCCAATTTTTCACAAAAAGAAAACTGACGGTTATATGAGGGGAAATTGAACAATTTTGTAAGGCTTAGTGCAAGTAGCTGAGAGCAGAAAACTAAGTAATAAAGGGATGTGTGAGTAGAGCCTCACTCCACCAAGGGTTAGAATTTAATGCCAATTAGCTGTATTTCATCTTCACTGTGTGACACTGGCCCAGGTACTTTAGTTTCTCTGGCCTGTTTTTTCCTCTAAAATAAGGGAGTCCCTTCCAGCAATAGAAGTTTAAGAACTGTAAGTTATGCCTTTCCTTTTACTTTCCCAGTAGGAAGCTCATACTGTAAACCTCATATGTAAATAACTAAATGAACAGAGTATGATGTAAGATGCACACTAAAATGCAAGGTCAGTATCCCCAAGTCTAACTGATGATTACTCAAGTCCAAAGTTCTTCTACTAGCTTGTAAGAGGCATTTCCAGGATGCTTAATCAGTATTGGGATTGTGGGTGGGGTTGTCTCCTCAGGCAAAAGTCTGCTTTGAAGAAACATCTTCGTTTCCATCAAGAACTCCACAAGGAAGCCAGTGGCCTACAGTGGGCACACAGAATTTCCAGGCCATGGGTCTACTCTTACTTCCAGTTCCTACGAACACCCAAACCTTAATGCTAGAAGAAAACAAGTAAGTTGGGAGGTGGTAAAAGAAACTTCCTTCTACAACGAAGTTCCATACTGAGCCCAATTAGTTCCATCTCATCTTGTTCAGCTCAACCCACAACCAGCTTCACTCTGCAAAGTTCGTTCCATTCCCACCAACCCTCCCCGCCACTAATACTTTACTCAACCCAATTAAACTCTTCACTCACCTAAATCCTTTATGTTCTCTAGCATAAATTCAGAAGCTTTGGTACCTAAAACTGACCCCAAATTTCATTTGTTTGAATTTCAGAAATTTTCAGTTAGTAAGACACTAACAGTCTTAGGCTAATCCAAGTATTTCATTTTCATCAATGTGTCTGAAAGAGTTGCAGGTAAATGGAAATTCTGTAATGCGAATAATTCTAATTTAGCTTAGAGGAGCTAACTCATATATTAAGAATTTTATTATATTGTCTTTATAAAGCAAAACCACATCCATTTCATCCTAAGAATCTAAAATCTAATGTCTACTTAAAACAAGGTAATCACTTGATAAATGTTCACTTGAGCAATATGAGCTCTTTTGTGAGGGTAATCTCACACCCTCAAATTATAGATTCTAGAACTGTGGTGCCCAATAAGCACCTGTATGTAGCTATTTAAATATAAGTTAAAACATTCAATTCTCCAGTCACACTAACCACAATTCAAGTGTTCATAACCACATGTGGCTATTGGCTACAATGTTGAACAGCCCAGATATAGAATATTTTCATAATCACAGAAACTTCTATGGAAAGCAGTGTTTTGGAGCCCTGAAAATTAACAAATCTTAAGGTTTTGCTCCTGTGATTTGAAGAACCAACCACTCACATAATTGCCCCATTTTAAAATTTACACTATCAAGGAAGACTTGATAAGATAATTTGTCTTTAACATCTATTTAATATCAATAACTATCTAGTATCTATCATAGAATGATTATTAAAAGGGATCAGAGCCTCAGCAAAGATCTGTAAGAGGATATTAAAGCAAGCATTATCTAACCCAAACTTTCCCACAGATTTCCTTTGCCCCAGCTATACTTCATGTCCACAGCTGGCAAACTTAGTATGTGCAGATGATTCCCTCAAATTTCCCACTAATGCTTATAAGGTATTTGCTTCCCACAGGAAGTGCACTTCTACAATCCAGAAGTCAAGCTTAATTTTGCTTCTGTATTGCTGTTACTGAACTTAGATTTGATGCTTATTTTTAACTCCTTGTTTTATGTAAAACAGAAATAAAATAACCTAAACACTGGCTATCAGTCATATTTAATTTAAATGTCACAGTTTCTTAAACCCGTTGACCCTACTTACTCATTTACTCATTCATTCATTAATACTTTATCAGATGAGAAAGAAGCATCTCAAATAATTCAATCAAGAACAAAGACCACTCAAGGAAAACATCCCTGTGATGGAAATTACCATTACTGACTTTATTTTCTCCCTTCTTTTACAAATTTAGGATGCTGCAGTCAAGTACCATGTAGAGTAGCTACACTAAATGTTATTCAAGGTCCCTTCCAAATCTGATATTCTATTAAGTTTTTGCTGTGAAAGGCCTATTTTATTGACGCTACTACACCAGATAAGCACAATTTTAAGTTAACCATAGCATGCAGTGAATTTGGAAGAATCCAATTAGCTGCAAACAAAAAGATTATTTCCCCAGTAGCTAAGCTCTACCACCTAAATGCTGAGAGCCTTCAGAGAAGCAAACAAAAATAACATACCAAACTGCATATTTACGCATTCTGGATAGCTCAAACAGCCTATCAGGTTTGTTACTCAGGCCTGATACAAATGTGAAATTCAATGAGTATTTTCTACAAATAGGCCTAATTTCTAGTCACTGTTTAATATAATGTAATAAATGCCAGGTGACAGTCTAAAAGCTCTAATTCACTTAGACTATATAATACAAATAATTTTTCACATAGGAGCAGTTATAGGTTTATAAAGCAAGCCAATATTTTTCAACAGGTGACCTGGTTAGGGGATTTATAACAGTTTATAAAATGCATTCAAGATAGGTTTCATTTGCTCTTCTCAAATGCTCAGATAGCATTCTATTTGGGATAACATGAAACTGGATTATGTGTATTCATAGATATACTTAATTCTGTGCTTCATTAAAAAGTTAAAAGGTTAAGTCCTCTAATAGAAACTAATTTGGTATTTTAATTTTATACAAGTTTAAATATATAAGATATAAAGAAATAAAAGAAAAATATACCAAACCTTAAGTAAGCAGAGAACATTTTGTTAAATGAAACACTGAAATTATCAATATAAACCAATTAAGAATTTTTGGCATGCCCATTTATTCAATATGATTGGGTAACTGTCATATATATGCACCATACAGAAATATCAAGTTTTTTTAAAAAACAGAACACTGAGTATCTAAGAAGGTATTGTGGCCTTAATTAAATCCTTAATTCAGAAGGCACTTCAGTAACTTTCAGTGCTTCAAAGTCATGATCATCATCACTGTACAGTACTGAAGAAAAAATTTATTTGTACCATATACAATAATTTCCAGGATTATGCAAGAAAATCTTGTTTCAGCCATTTTTTTTCTTTCTTTACAACTAAAAATAAAATGGAACATTAGTACGATTTTTACAAATATTTTGTTTATTTTAATGAAGCTGGTACAGACAATGTCCATTTAAAACCCATATCCCAGGCCAAAGAGTACAAATAAAATCAAAAAGAGCAGTGTTCTGTTGTACACACTTCTGCATGAGTAACTTTATTAACTGCTAATGAAAATTAGAACTTTTCTGGGATCTTCTGACAAGATTTTTCTTTACTCTTAAAATGCTTTCTCTTCATGAAGCCATCTTTGGAGTTAGTCTTTACTCTCACCTTATCTGTCATCTTGACTCCAACCTGATATTCCTCTTCTTTTGGTCCAGACCTTCAGAAAAGTAGCTTCAAGTTGAGGAAAGATCATTTTTCCACAGTTCAGTTCTCTGAAAAACTTCCACCTCCCACTGAAAGTCATAGTCCAGGAGTGAAGCAATCACATGCTAGAACTTCAGGGCCAATTAGAAGTCATTATGAACACTCGCATTGGTCGACCTTATTTATCACAAGCCTGAAAATGCACAGTCCTGAAAAAGGTGGCCTCCCTGTGCACACACGTAATATTTCAAAAGGAGAGGGCAACATGAAGGGGGCTGAGGTTTGATCACCAAAAATCAGCACAATGAAAACAAACAATAATGAATAATGGGCACTAGAATTCAAATTACCAGATGTTTTAAAGAGATGGGGGGGTCAATTTTCAATTCCAATTTGAACACCACATTACAAAAGAACTATTTTTAAAAATAAAAAAGGACTGAGGGCAAAGAAAAGAAAAATAGTATCTAAACTGTTGAATGACCCCCTGTTTGTTCCTGATAAACTTCAATCACATCTTCTTCCTCCATTCCCAGCTGTAAGAGGAAAGAAAAGTATTTTAGTATTAGAATATAATAGCACTATTAGAATATAATAGCACTATTTTTTTTTATTGCCTGCAATTATGTGGCCACTGTTTTAAAGTACAAAAAGATACAAAGGTGATCCATAGTTACACTGTTCTAAGATTAAGAATCCCAATTCCTTTCATCTAAAGACACATAGAGATGTGTGTCATTAAAGTCATTTATTATTTTGCTGAGTCAATTTCACTTCCCAGCTTATTCACTATATAAA